ATCACATAAAATTACCAATGCAACCACACCACATCATCACATATCATCCCTGACAATAGCCAACCTTATCTCTCCTATAGCCACCCTTATCACTCCTAAAATAGCCACCATTATCCCTCCGCCCTGACAATATCAATAGCCACCCTTATCTCTCCTATAACCACCCTTATCTCTCCTATAGCCGCCCTTATCGCTCCACCCAGACAATATTCCAACAAACACAATAACATTAAAATGCCACCCTTATACCCACATAATATCAACAGTGGAATTCCACCCTTATATCCTCAAAATAACAACTCACACAACACAACAATTTACACGAAAAATTATCACGGCAACATAACAAAATCAATTCATATCACAATTTGCTCAATGGCCACAATCAATTCCAAGGATATAATAAAACCAATTAATTTCACAACAAATAGCCCAAGGCTCCACACAATGTATATAAAACCTCAAAATCAATCAACAAAGATAGAAAATAATTAGCATAGGGCAATGCCTTCATTAATCCAAATTTAGATAATTATATTAACACTTCTTCTTACTTGTTTAATTAATTATTTGCATAGGGATAATTCATAATGAAATTAAATTCCAAAAATATCAATCCATCAAACTCACGTAATTCACATAAATATATCGGTAACATTCACATCAAATCGTCATATAAAACAAATTCAATAAATACGAATTGAGGCATGGCAACCAGATGATTAAATAAATGCCAACAATTATCCAATTTACTACACAATATGCCTAAGACTTTAACCCAATATATTTTGCACATATAAGCTCGAGTACGTACTCATCACCTCACGTACACAGCTTTTCACATTTCACAAACGGCATATAAAACTCGATGCCGAAGGGGTATTTTCCCCACTCGAGGTTAGGCATGACACTTACCTTTTTGAAGTTAGGCCGATATTTCAAAATAGACTTCTTTCTTGAATTGACCTCCGGACAACTCAAATCTATCCAAATTAATTGTATAACTTCATTAAAATTCATCGAAAACAATTCCGGATAATAAAACGTTGACTTGAAAATTTATTCTAAAAATTCAACAAAAGTCAACGTGGGACCCGCCTCTCGGAACCCGACATAAATTTCATGAAATCCGAATACCCATTCCGATAGTTCAACCATACCAATTTTGTCGAATTCCAATAACAAATCGACCTCCAAATCTTAAATTTGCGTTTTTGGAAGATTTTGCAAAAATCTTGATTTCTTCCAATTAAATCCGAATTAAACGATGAATATAACCATAGATTCATGAAATATAGTCACTTTAGGATCTAGAACACTTACCCAAGTCAAATTCTTGAAGAACTTCTCCAAAATCGCCCAAAAACCGAGCTCCAAAATCCCAATCGAAAATGGCGAAATGACCATTTTTGATCCTTAAATGTTTTTGCCTAGTTTCGCACCTGCGGACGAGTTGCCGCATCCGCGGAACCGCTTTTGCGAACCAAAATCTGCTTCTGCGGAAGTCCACTGACCAGAGGCCCTCGTACATGCAGAGTTCTCTTCGCTTCTGCGCAATCACAGAAGTGATGACCAATTGCGCATCTACTAAGCTTCTCGCTTCTGCGCTCCATGTACCGCATCTGCGGTCATGCAGGTGCGGGAAATTCTTCGCACCTGTGACCACTGCCCAGGCCTATTCCTTTCACTTCTGCGACCTTAAACTCGCTTCTGCGATAGCGCATCTGCGATCAATTTCATCGCAGATGCGATGACACCAGTGGCAGATTTCTAGCAGTTCTTTCAAGTCCAAAAATCCATCTGTTAACCTTCCGAAATCCTTCCGAGGCCCTCGGGGCCTTAACCAATTATACCAACACATCCAAAAATACAAAATGAACTTATTCGAGGCTTCAAACCATGTCAAACAACGCCGAAATTTCGAATCGCGCATCGAATCGAATTATAAACTTTCAAATCTTCCAACTTCTACATTACGCGCCGAAATGTATCAAATCAATCCGGAATGACTTCTAATTTTGCACACAAGTCATAAATGGTATAATGGAGATATTTCCATTTCTGGAATCAAAATCTTACCTCGTTATCAAAAATTCACCCTTCGGTCAGACTTTCCAAAATCTTCTATTTTTTTACTTTTGCCAAAATGCTTTGAATTGTCCTACGAACATCCAAATCCGAACATACACCTAAATCTGAAATCATCATACAAAGCTATTTCCATCTTCAAAATTCTATTCCGGGGTCGTTTGCTCAAAAGTCAACTCTCCGGTCAACTCTTTCCATTTAAGCTTCTAAATAAGAATTGTTCTTTTAATTTAATTCCGAATCTTCCAAAAATCAAACTCGACCACACCCTGCGAGTCATAATACATATTATGAAGCTGCTCGAGACCTTAAGTCACTGAACGGGGCGTTAATTCTTAAAACGACAAGTCGAGTCGTTATAGAACATGTTGTCATCTAAAGTCTAAACATGTCAAGTTTAACCAAACAATACCAGTATGAAGCAATGCATTTAAGCGATGTACTTTGATTGTAAAGGATAATCCACATATTAAAAAAAACATAAAATAGTTTTCAAAGTAGGAATACTGTGAAAGTATTTTTTGGTAATAACTGTGAAATTACCATTAACAAACAACTTTCCAATACACCTAGAGAGCACTTAGGAATATAACCACCTTCTAGAAAGGGTGCTATATTTCGCTAAGCCTCAGATAATCAAATACTAATTACAAATTCTTATAATCAATCCCTGGAAACTATTAGCTCTTCTCCTATGTTGTATGTCTTCTACTCTAATTCTTATTTCCTTTTGTATCTGTGATATTACACGATTTGTATGTACATCAGTGTTCCTAAAGATCTTCCAATTTCGCGTTTGCTAGATCTGATAAATCATGGTTCCCCATACTGCAGCAACTATCTCTTTCTTCTTCTGCTTCCAATGCCTGCTTTTAATCCACTAGATACTTTGTTGAATATTCATCCAAGGTAACTTGATCCCCATCCAATTGGACAGACCTTCTCTTACTTCTCTAGCCCATGTACACTCTACAAATAGGTGCTTCTGAGTCTCCAATCTCCTTTGATCACATAGTTATGCAATCGAGTCATTCTTTCTTTGGTTAGCAACTTGTCTTGGTTAGCTAACCAAACACAAAATATGTGCTTAGGTTGCATCACTTTGTTCCACACCAAATTTGCCTCCTGCAATCTTACATGTGGTCCTAGTAGTGCATTGTAGCTCCTTGTTGATGAGTACTCTCCATTCTCTGTCACATAGTTCCTATTATTGCACCATTGTGTCATCACTTCTTTTAATGAATTTAATTTCCTCCAGTACCAGCTACTATCAGTAGGAGGGTTGTGATTCCAAATGCTTCATGTATATCCCATGCACCCACTTTACCCACAATACATCTTTCTTTCTTGCCAATTGCTAGAGTAGTTTTCCTATAGTAGCTATATTCCAGTTCCTACACCCTTTGATGTTTATCCCACCATACTTCTTAGGAGTACACATTGTGTCCCAAGTTACTAATGTAAGTTTCCTGTGATCTTCAATACTACCCCAAAGATAATCCCTACATATTTTGTCCACCTCTTTCAGAACACTCTGAGGTAGGATGAACACAGCTCCCCAAAAGTTATATATTGAGAACAATACAACATTTATAATTTGTAACCTCCCTGCATATGATAGGCATCTTGAGTAGGCATTCCTAACCCTATTAGTTATCTTCCCCACTAGTTCATGCCATTCCATTTTTACTCCACGTTTTGGAAGAGAGGGGTAGTCCAAGGTACTTAATAGGAAGAGTCCATGTAGTAAATTCTTTTCTAGCTAGTATTTGTTCTTGTGTAGCATCATCAATTCCTGCCATATAAATATTAGTCTTCTCAATATTTGCAACTAAACCTGTGGTGTTGCTAAAATGGTTTATGGCCTCCATCACTCTAGCAATGGACTTTAGATCACCTTTACAGAAAATCATCAAATTATCTGAAAAGATCAGATGAGTTAACTTGAGAGCCTTACACATTGGGTGGCATGTGAAATCTGTAAGCTCACTCATTTTCTTAAGTGTTCTAGATAAGTACTCCATGACTAAGACAAATAGTAGTGGGGATATTGGGTCCCCTTGTCTCAGTCCTCTTCTCCCTTCAAAATACCCAACACTTTCTCCATTAACCTTCACCATAAATTTAGTGGTGGTAATACATGTCATGACTAGTTGTATGAAAGTCTCAGGGAACCCATATCCAATCAGTGCTTCAGCTATGAACTCCCAACTCACCATGTCGCATGCATTCCTTAAATCTATCTTTATTAAACATCTTGGTGATGTTTTCCTGTTATAGTGTCTCATAAGATCATGGCATATAAGTACATTGTGTACCAAGGATCTCCCTTCCACAAATGCTGCCTGATTTGGTGCTACCAGATAGTTCAAAGCTTGTTTCAATCTCTTGTATATTACTTTGGATATACACTTGTACAAGATATTACAACAAGATATTGTTCTAAATTGACTGGCATATTGTGGGCTTGGTACTTTAGGTATCAATGTTATCATTTTTGCATTCAACTGCACTAGTAACTTCCCATTGTTTAGAAATTGGAATACTGCAATGGTTACATCCTTCCCTACAATCCTCCATGTCTTTTTGAAAAAGTCACTCCATATCCATCAGGGCATGGGCTCTTGTTGCTGTCAATACTAAATATAGCATCCCTCACATATTTTCTTGTGTATGGTTGTATCACGTTCATCTGTTGTACTGTTGATAGCATATGCCCATTCCTCAGAATTCTTCTTATTGTTGTTGTTCTGTCTACTGCTTTCTTCCCTAATAATTCTTTATAATAGTCTACAAAGATCATGGCTATCTCTTTTGGTTCTGTGTGTATCACATCATTGCCATCCCTCAATTGTATAACAGCCTCTTGAAATTTTTTGTGTTTAATTACTGAAAAAAAATATCTTGAATTGTCATCTCCAATCCTTATCCATGTTGCTTTGCTTCATTGCTGCAGGAAGCTTTCTGCCATGTAGGAAGACCTTCTGAACTTCTGGTATTATGCTCTTTCCTTTCTCTATAGATCCTGATCTATGGGGGTTATGTGTAACTCTCTTTGTATCTGCTCTAACTGTGTTCTGTCCTCCTCTACTTCTGCTAGGATATCCCTAAAATGGTGTTTGTTTAGTTCCTTCAATCCTTGCTTCAAAGCTTTTAGTTTCTTCACTACATGATACATATCACATCTATGCACCTGCAGTTGCCATGCTGTCTCAACTTTCTCCAAGAAATCTAGATGGCTTGCCCATATATTGCAGTATCTGAAAGGTCTGCTTGTATTTTGTTTTGTGTGTAATTGTTCTACCTTAATTGGGCAATGATCGCTTATGCCCTCTGGTAGATATCTAGCTCCATATGCAGGCATTTGGTTCAGCCAATCATTATTGATGAACACCCAGTCAATTTTAGAGTACACTCTATTTCCTCTCTGTCTATCATTCCATGTGAATCTACTCCCTGTGGTAGGTAATTCCATCAGACCACTAGACTCCACACAGTGCTGGAAATCTATTACATCCCTCTTTGTCACTGGTTTCCTCCAATTCGATCCTCCATATTAAGGACTGCAATAAAGTCACATATTGTGATCCAAGGATCTTGATTCCCCATACTGATTCTATTCAAATAGTTCCATAGCTCTCTCCTTTCATCATTTGTATTGTATGCATATACCACAATCAGTCTAACCATTATATTGTTAGTTTTATTAGTCACCTTGCATGTGATGGCCTGTGCATTACCATATTCATATTGCACTAGATATTGATTTGGTCTCCAAATCACCCAAATTATACCATTGTAGTGATGCTCTAAGTTTGTAACATAGCTTCACCAATGGAATAGTTTATCAGCTAGTTGTTTTATCCTTCCCTTCTTTATTTTTGTTTCTACTAAACCTACAATTCCTACACACTTCTCTTTTGCAGAGGAGTTGGACCTCCTTCTGCTTATTGGGGTTGTTTAGGCCCCTTACATTCCAGCATATCATGTTATCCATTCCCCAAGGGAGGTATTTGTGTCACGACCCAAACTAACCTATGTCGTGATGGCGCCTATCGTGGAACTAGGCAAGCCGAATCATTTCCAAAATAAACCGATATTTTCATTTCAAAGATAATCTCAAGGTTATTTAACATAAAACCTCCATTTAAAGAGTTCAAATCAAAGAAAAACAGAATTGCGGAAAAGAAAAGCCCGACATTGGGGTGTCACGTCATAAGCATCTACTACAATCTGTCTAACAATATCAAGGCTAACTCAGCCTGGAAAATAGCTAAATACAACTAGAGGAAGATAAGAGGGAGAAGAGCAGGGGTTGTGATCGCCAAACAACTACCTTGCTATCTCCAAGAAAAATCTGCAACCAGAACACTCAATAACTGCTACCGTGTCCAGCTATACCTGAATCTACACACAAGGTGTAGGGAGTAACGTGAGTACGCAAACTCAGTAAGTAACAACAATAAATAAAGACTGAGCAGTAGTGACGAGCAATAAAGCATATAACATTCATTTCATGAAATCTCAGTAAAGTACAACATGCTTTAAAAATCAGTGTTTGAATTGAATCATCTCGTTTAAACCCGGTTCCAGTAAAAATTATTTAAAGATATTCTTCCAACAGTTTTTCAAACAAAGGCTCAATACAAAGGTGAGCAAAAATGATTAAATCATAAACAGCCCCTCGGGCATAACATCACTCATATACAACTACTCGAGCAAACTTCACAGTCACTCTTGCCACTCGGGCATACCTCACAATAACTCTTGCCACTCGGGCATACCTCA